GTGCAGGTCTTTGTCAAAAGCGTTTTTTACATCTATTGAGATGATCATAGGATTTTTGTCCTTGGCTCTGTTAATATGGTGTATTACATTTATGGGTTTATGTATGCTGAACCACCCCTGCATCCCTCGGATGAATCCCACTTGATTATGGTGTAGAATCTGCTTGATGATTAGCTGCAGTCTGTTTGCCAGTATCTTACTGAGGATTTTTGCGTCAGTGTTCATTAGGGAGACTGGACTGTAGTTCTGTTTCTTAGTTGGGTCCTTCTCTGGTTTTAGAATGAGAGTAATGCTTGCTTCCAGGGGTGAATTTGGGAGGACTGCTTCCCTTTCAGTTTCATTAAGAGTTTGTGAAGTAGTGGTGTTAGGTCATCTCTAAATTTCTTGAGAATTCAACAGTGAAAGCATCAGGGCCTGGGTTTTCTTTCTTGATAGGTTTTTAATTACATCTTCAATTTCATTTATTGATATTGGGTTATTTAGCATTTTTATATCTTCTTGATTCAGCTTTGGTAATTCATATTTATCTAGGAACCTGTCCATTTCTTCTATGTTTTCCATCTTATTAGAATACAAGTTTTCAAAGTGAGTATGGATGGTTTCTGGATTTCCACAGGGCTGTTGTGATTTCATCCTGTTCATGCCTGAGTGCGCGGACTTGACTCTCTTCTTTCCGTGTGTTGATAAGGTTGGTTGACAGTTTGTCAGTTTGATTTAATCTTTCAAAGAACCAACTTTTTGATTCATTGATTCTTTGTATTTTTTTTTAGTCTCCAGTGTGTTAATTTCTGCTCTGATCTTCATATTTTCCTCCCCTGTACAAGCTTTGGGCCTAGCCTGCTCTTTTTTTTCTAGAAGTTTGAGGTTCAGCATTAAGTTGTTTATATGTGCTTGTCCTGTGTTCTGGAAATCGGTATTCACTACTATAAATTTCCCTTTTTTTAATTTTAATTTTTTGGTACCAGGGATCAAACTCATGACCATGTGCTTGCCAGGCAGGCTCTTACGCTGCTGAGCTAAATATCTGGCCCTCAGGTGCCCTCTTAAGACTGCTTTCATGGTGTCCCACAAGTTCTGGTGTGTTGTATTGTCATTAACATTTAACTGTAAAAGCTGTCCAAGTTTTTTTTTTATTTCATCTGTGACCCGTTCGGTGTTCAGTGGGGTACTATTTAATTTCCATGTTTTTATGAAGTTCTTGTGATTTCCTTTGGCATAGATCTCTCATTTCATTGCAGTGTGGTCTGATAGTATGCATGGCATAATTTCAGTTCCTTTACATTTATTTAAGCATGTTCTGTGATCCAGCATGTGGTCTGTTTTGGAGAATGTCCCATGTGCAGAGGTGAGGAATTTGTATTCTGATGTTGTGGGGATAGAACATTCTAATAGGTATCTAGTAGGTCCATTTGTTCAAAAGTTTGATTTAGTTCTAATAATTCATTACTGATTTTTTTGTCTAGTCGGTCTCTTTCTGTGACTGTGGTTTGAGTTTTCCTAATAACAATAGTAGTAGGACTCACTGGATTTTTCATGTCCGTTAGTAATTGTTTTATATAGCTGAGCGCACTGGTATTTGTTGCGTATGTATTTATGATCATTAGCTCTTCTTGGATTGCTCCCTTTAGGAGGGTGTGACGTCTTTATCTCTCTTAATCAGTCTGGGCTTAAAATTCACTTTGTCTGCAAATAGAATAGCTACCCCTGCTTTTTTCTGGGATCCTGTTGCATCGAGTATTGTTTTCTGTCCTTTGACGCTCAGTCTATGAACTCCTTATTGAATTAAATGTGTTTCTAGTATGCAGCACGTCATTAGATCTTGCATCTAGATCCACTCTGCCAGTCTGTGTCTTTTGATGGTTAAAACTGACATGTACTGACTGATCCTTGTTGTGTTATTTTCCTGTTGTTGGCTCCCTCCTTTTTCCCCCACCTCCCTCTGATTGCCTTCCCCAGTGTATTTCTTTTGTTGGGGTTCACCGAGCTGTAGTCCTTATTATCTCTTTCTAGAATGTCCTTTGGAACATTTTGGAGTGCTGGTTTGGTGGTCATAAATGTCCTCAGATGTTCTTTGTCATGGAAGCATCTTACTTTTCCATCAATTTTAAAAGATAGTTTTGTGGGATACATCAGTCTAGGTTGAAAGTTGTTTTCTTTTAGAGCTTGGAGTGAAGTACTCCAGGCTCTGAAAGAGTGCGTGGCTTGGAGTGGAGAACTTCACTCCAAGCTCTCCTTGAGGAGAGTTTGTGCTGATTAGACAGCTGTGATTCTGATGGGCTTTCCTTTAAAAGATTTGTTTCTTAGATTCTCTAACAGCTTTTAGGATTCTATGCTTGTGTATGTTATGTCAGGCTGTAGATTTTTTTTTTTTTGATCATTGCTAATTGGGGTTTTATATGCCTCACTTACTTGTACATCAAATTCTTTTTCTGTACCAGGAAAGTTTTCTGTCATGATGTCTGTGAACATTTTTTTGGCATTTGTAGTGTCTCCTGCTTGTTTAGTGACTGCAAAATAGATAGATGTCTCATGGTCCCTTGCTAGTTTTGAGAAATCTTCATTTTCCTGATGGTTACTATGAGCCTGCCTTTGTATCTGAGATCCTGTCCTTACGTTGGCCTAATCTGCTTTGAATACTTTCCATGGAGTGTGTATTCTCCAGGGTGCCTGCTTGAATCTGCTTTATGGAGTGCATTTGTCTCCTCCATAATTTCCTGAAGCTCATCTATTGTTTGGTCTGTGTCTGCTCTAACGTCGCTAAGCATGGTGTGTGGTGGTCTCTGGAGCTATCTGAGAGGTTATTTCTGATTTCATTTTTCCAGCTCCGCATTCCACTGCTCTCTCGTTACTCTTGGCAGGGACCTGGTGGGGCTCCCGACGTCTGACCTCAGTGCTCCCTGGTTCGCCTTCGGGGGGCTGCTGTCTGGGGCTGCATCTTGTTTGTCTTCCCTCATCCCTTAATTAATTCCTGAGGTGATGATTACTTCTCTGAGGTGTCTTCCAGGTGTGGCTGGTTCTGGGTTTTGAGTCTGTTGGAAGATCTTACCTCTTCAGTTCCTTGGAGATGAGAAGTTGTTGCTCGTTTGGCCCAGGCCCTGGTTCTTTGGTACTGTGCCACTGCATTTTCTGTGACCCTTAGTTAATCTCAGTCATGGAATACCAGGACCAACAGCTGTTTAGAACGTTATGTCACTTTTGGGAATAGTGGTACCAGTAGCCCAAACACAGCCTAGGAGACAGCAGACTGAGCTAACCCTTAGTCTAAGGCTTTTAACCATATGAACGAGATTTGTGATTATATAACAAATGTAGAACCAGATAATTATATGCATTATGTAAGTCTGTAATGTGTCCCCCCACCCCCTGCTTAAAATTTAAAATGGATTAAGGAGGAAATAGAGAAATGGAAGAAGAGAAAGAAATTAGAAGTGAGGTTGGAAGACCAAGGGGGTTCACACCAGCGTGGGGAACCTGGTGCAGGCTCATCTGCCTCACCGCAGGCCAAGCAGTTTCCATGGTTCTGTGCCCAGCCGGAGGCTGCTGGAGGGAGCCCACAGCAGTCCTGGGCGTAGCCAGCCGGTCTCCCAGCTCCTGGCTCTCTCCCGGAGGAGGACCCCGTGCTCTGCGCTCAGGGGCAGCCAGCGCAGTTCTCCAGGTGCACCGCTCCCCTGCTGAGTCTCTCTGCAGAGACCTCCAGGGGTGCAGCTGTCCTGTCACTGTGTCCCAGGGTCAGACAGCTCCTCCCAGGCATTGAGTCCCCCTGGGGAGGTGCTGCTGCCTGCCTCCTCCTTTGTTGAAGTGTTTCTCTGTGCTCTCTCCGGGTTTTGATTCACACTGAAGAGTCACCCTGGGAGGCCTCTTCCTTCTTTCTTGTCTTTCTCATGAAGGAGATTCCAGTATTCCCTTTTATAGGGATTTCCAGTCCCTCAGAATCTTGTATGGAGAATACCATCTGTTCTCCACTGAGTTCACCAGAACCTTTGTCTTACATGTAGAGACAAGCAAATCTCTTAACACCTGGAGCTTGACTTGAGGTAACAACCCCTGAGGGAACCGTGAGAACTCTGGGTTACCAAATGGTGGGGGGCTTGGCCTCAGGTCTGGGACAAGGTCTCACTTTGTAGGCTGGCCTTGCGCTGATTTTGTAGGTCATGGTGGCCTGAACTCTTGGGATCCTGCTGGTCAGCCTCCCAAGTGCAGTGTGCACCACCACGCCCAGCTCAGGCTGGGATTTGGGAAGGGAACCGAGAGCTTGTGCTGAGAGCAGCCCTGTGGACGTGCCTCCCCGGGGCAGCTGAGAAAAGCGTCCCGGCACCCCTCGGGGTCGAGCTTCCCTCTCACCAACCCCTGGGTGAAGGAGGCCAGCGAGTTTGGAGCAAGCACTTCCAGAAATACAGGAGAGTAAGCGCTTTAGGACAGAGCTTCCTCTTCTGGAATTCTAGCTGCAGAGGTGGCTGGACCTCTGTGAAGGGGACTGAGAGGGGGGATCCGTGGCATCCACAGTTGCACGGTGTCTGGAAGGTTCGGATTCAGGATCAGCATGACTCAGGCAGCAGTTAAGCTGGCAGCAGACTGCCACTGTTTAGAATCTGTGCCTACCTCTGTCCATTGAAAGAGGTCCTCCCCAGAGAGATCGGTTGTCCCAGAGGCAGCAGGTGTGAATGAACACGGCTGCCTTTGGGAGCCACCCCTGGCGGGAGTCAGTGTTCCTGTGTCTGAGTAGGTGAGTTGGACAGGCAAGGTGACCTCCCTTGTGACTGGGCGGCCACAGGGGCGTGCACCTGGCTTCGCCAATGTCTGTGCTGTGCCTTCTGTTGGGCACAGCAGGTGCACAGCTCTCCTGCATCCAGGCTGAGTCTGTCTCAGAGTTGGGGGCGGAGCAGGCTGGTGTTGCTCTCCGCACAGGCTGGGTGGTCTGGGGGAGGGAAGGCTGCCGTGGCTCCCATGGGTGCCCTGACCTGGAGCATGTAACCATCAGGGAAACGCTTTCTGTTTTTCAGGCACTGCTGGCAGGCATGCGGAACCGGGAGAACAGCTCGCCCTGCCAGGGCAATGGAGAGGCGGCCGGCAGGGGCAGGAGTGTGGGCTCCGCTTGGCTGGGCGAGGAGGAGCCCTGCAACGACACGGCCACTGCTTCCTACAAGAAGCCTCTGTACGGCATCTCCCACAAGATCATGGAGAAGAAGAACCCGCCCGCCGGGGACCTGCTCAGCACCTACGAGGTCTTCGAGAAGCCAAACCCCAGCAACAGCCCCTCCCCGCTGCGCCTGCTGAGCGAAACTCAGAAGCGAGACTGCGGCAGCACCGGGGCGGCCAGCGACGGTGACCCCAACATCTACTTCCTGATCCAGAAGATGTTCTACATGCTGAACACACTCACGTCCAACATGTCCCAGCTGCACAGCAAGGTGGACCTGCTCTCCCTGGAAGTGAGCCGCATCAAGAAGCAGGTGAGCCCCTCTGAGCTGGTGGCCAAGTTCCAGCCGCCGCCCGAGTACCAGCTGACCGCCGCGGAGCTCAAGCAGATCGTGGACCAGAGCATGTCCGGCGGCGACCTGGCTTGCCGGCTGCTGGTGCAGCTCTTCCCCGAGCTCTTCAGCGATGTGGACTTCTCCCGGGGCTGCAGCGCCTGTGGCTTCGCTGCCAAGCGGAAGCTGGAGTCGCTGCACCTGCAGCTCATCCGCAACTACGTGGAGGTCTACTACCCCTCCGTGAAGGACACCACGGTGTGGCAGGCCGAGTGCTTGCCGCAGCTCAATGACTTCTTCAGCCGCTTCTGGGCCCAGCGGGAGATGGAGGACAGCCAGCCCGGGGGCCAGGTCCCCAGCTTTTTTGAAGCTGAGCAAGTGGATGCCAGCCACTTCTTGGACAAGAAGGACCAGGAGGAGGCCTTGTCTCTGGACCGGAGCAGCACCATTGCCTCCGACCATGTCGTGGACACGCAGGACCTCACTGAGTTCCTGGACGAAGCCTCATCGCCGGGCGAGTTTGCCGTCTTCCTCCTCCACCGGCTCTTCCCCGAGCTCTTTGACCACCGGAAGCTGGGCGAGCAGTACAGCTGCTACGGCGATGGCGGCAAGCAGGAGCTGGACCCGCAGCGGCTGCAGATCATCCGCAACTACACGGAGATCTACTTCCCCGACATGCAGGAGGAGGACGCCTGGCTGCAGCAGTGCGTCCAGCGCCTGAACGATGAGCTGGAGGGCCTGGGGCTGGAAGCGGGCAGCGAGGGGGAGCCCCCGCGGGACGACTGTTACGACTCCTCCAGCCTCCCGGATGACATCTCCGTGGTCAAGGTGGAGGACAGCTTCGAGGGGGAGCGGCCCGGCCGGCGCTCCAAGAAGATCTGGCTGGTGCCCATCGACTTCGACAAGCTGGAGATCCCGCAGCCGGACTTCGAGGTGCCGGGGGCCGACTGCCTGCTCAGCAGGGAGCAGCTGCGCAGCATCTACGAGAGCAGCCTGTCCATCGGCAACTTCGCCTCCCGCCTGCTGGTGCACCTGTTCCCCGAGCTCTTCACCCACGAGAACCTGAGGAAGCAGTACAACTGCAGCGGCTCCCTGGGCAAGAAGCAGCTGGACCCGGCTCGCATCAGGCTGATCCGCCACTACGTGCAGCTGCTCTACCCCCGGGCCAAGAACGACCGCGTGTGGACGCTGGAGTTCGTGGGCAAGCTGGACGAGCGCTGCAGGCGCCGGGACACCGAGCAGCGCCGTTCCTACCAGCAGCAGCGCAAGGTGCACGTTCCGGGCCCCGAGTGCAGGGACGCGGCGAGCTATGCCATCAACGCCGAGAGGTTCCGAGAGGAGTACGAGGGGCCCCCGTTGCCCCCGGAAAGAAGCAGCAAGGACTTCTGCAAGATCCCCCTGGACGAGCTGGTGGTGCCCTCGCCCGACTTCCCGGTGCCTTCTCCCTACCTGCTGTCCGACAAGGAGGTGCGTGAGATCGTGCAGCAGAGCCTGTCCGTGGGCAACTTCGCCGCCCGGCTGCTGGTCCGGCTCTTCCCCGAACTCTTCACCGCCGAGAACCTGCGGCTGCAGTACAACCACTCGGGGGCCTGTAACAAGAAGCAGCTGGACCCGACCCGGCTGAGGCTCATCCGGCACTACGTGGAGGCCGTGTACCCGGTGGAGAAGATGGAGGAGGTGTGGCACTATGAATGTATCCCCAGCATCGACGAGCGGTGTCGCCGCCCCAACAGGAAAAAGTGCGACATCCTCAAGAAGGCCAAGAAGGTGGAGAAGTGATGGCCCGTGGGACCCCCAAAGCCTGAGTGCTGGGCTCCCCTGGGCTGAGCGGTGCCGTGGAGCACGCGTGTGGCACCCACAGGCAGGCACCTTATGTCCACGGGGAGTGGCCTCTACCTTTGCACAGATAAACACCCACCCGACCACGAGAAAGGAGCCTTGGATTTGATTTCTCGTCCTCGTGACTTTCCTGTGCTCCCCGAGGCGGCTGCTGGAGGCGGGGACGCCTGAGCCAGCAGAGGGCCTGGAGGAGCGGGGTCCGCCCCAGTGCAGCCTCCGCAGCCCAGGCTCAGCACCCAGCAGCCCTCCCCTCACACGTTCCCAGCTCCCATTTTACCCCGCCCTTTTTGTAATTAAACTGAAATCCTTTTTAAAAGCAAAAATCATTGGGCTCTTTCAGGGCCATTTTACTTAGGAAAACAAAATCTTTTTAAGTGTGTGAGATGAAGAAGTACTGTACGATGAGCTAGGTGCTGGGATTTTTAAAGCTGATTTCAGATTTATGAATTTTGTAGAAGTGCCGTGTGCGTTTGTGGTGGGTAATCAGCACCGGGCGGCACAGAGACTGAGTCCCTGACCCGATCTTTGACATTTGGTTCTGGAAGACTCAGGCACCCTCGTGCGGGGGTAGGGCGGGGCGGGATGGGGCTGGACGGGCTCGCGCTGACCGCGCTGCCTTGGCGGTGCGGGGCAGTGCGGGGCCGCTGCCGCCCCTCTGTCGGCGAGAACACTGGATGATGATGACATGAATGTAGACGGACTGGGCTCAGGTGTTCACGGTGTCTTCGGGGAGCTGTGTCCTTCGGCGCCGTCCCTCTCCCCGCCTGGGTGCTGGCTGGAAGGGCAGCCAGGCTCCCTGGAGAGCGGTGCGAGTGGGCATGTGGCTTGGTGTTTGACTTAGGGGTGGGCCCCTCCGGGCGCACTGAGAACTGTTTGTTTTCCGTGTGGGTAGTGTGTGAAATCCGGGTCTGGGTTCTGTGGTGACTCCCCAGACCTGTGTCCACCCTCCCACCCAGGACATCCTGGTTCCTGGGCAGGCAGGCGTGGGCCCGCCCTCCTAGGAACACCTGGTTTTGGAAGGACACTGGTCATCTCAGATGACCCACTGGGTGTCCTTCCCAGGCCCACTCAGCTTTCTCCTCAGACCCCTGGAAGCTTCCACTGTGCTGCCCTGGCTCGCTCCTGCTCTGACCCATACATCTCTTCCTCCCCACCGACTGGGCAGGTGGGCCTGCTGCAAGCCAGTGGCTCGCTCTGGACACCCCACGACAGGCTGTGTCCTAAAAGACAGTTTCTCCCTGTGGGGTCCTCATGCTCCAGGGGAAAGGAAACAGTTACCCGAGTTGAATCTTGCCAGAGACCCTAGAAACAACTGAATCAAACCAGGTAGTCATCAAACCCTTGTGGGACATTACAGATTTAATAATGTAATGATTTAATATTTTGCTACCCTAAAATGCAGAAATAGAAACAATCTGAATTTCCTTCATATAATTAAGAATGTTAGTTCCTGTGACTGTTACAATTTTGCTTGCAGGCAGTGGGCATTTATATGTGTAAAACAGAACTTTGAGCAGTAAAGTTGCTGTTTTAAGTCCTGACAGATTATTTCTGCAGAACTTCAGACCTGTGTGTCTGAAATTGAGGCAGGGACCCAGTTAGTCCCTGTCACACTCCCACACATGGGACACACACAAGAAGCTTAAGCGAGAGGAGGCTACATGAATAACAAGTTCTTTTGTGCCTGAATAGAAGGGACTAGAGCAGCCAGGAGCCCCACTTTCCCCCCTCCTTTAGGCTTTCGCCTTGCCTTAGTTCCCCTAGTGCACGCGTGCGTGCCTGCCTACACACACACACACACACACACACACACACACACACACACACACACCCTACCCAAAGATGGCCGTGGCGTGCTGCGCTTGGCCCTGCTAGTTGGGGGTATGGAATTTGTTCTGGTCTCTAGGATGCATCCAAGAGGATTTCAAGCCATGTGACAGTTACCCTGCTTTCTAGAGAGTGGAATGTGACCCTGCAACTTTAGAAGCACAATCACTTAATTTTTAAAAAATTTCTTGCCTATTCACATTAGGGAAATCAACAGAGACTCAGAGTACATCTCTTTACAAACTAGAGCATGTTAAAGTTTAGAGACTGCGTTTCGGTGGTTTCCTTCACACTGTCCTTGTGTAGGGCGTCTCCCCGAACCTGTGATCCTTGCAGCGAAGAGGGGTGGCCTACTCCAGGAGCTGTTTCCGGTCCCCGGACTGTGTTCTGTCTGCGGGGGGCGCTCACCTCACCGTGACACAGGCGGTTTTTACAAGAAGCAATAGAAGTACAAAAACGCTTATTTTTTCATGATCTGACGTGCTCCTTAAAAGCTGCTCCTCTTCTCCATCCAGATTCCTCTGTTGTACTGTAGTGTTTTTGGACTTTTTCTTTTGCCTTCTATCCCAAGTACTAAAGAATTAGCACAGACACGTTCTGAGGTTAAGCACAGTAGTCACGTAGGTGTAGTGGTCATGGTTTTCTGTTAGTAAGGTGTTAAAGAATGTATGAGGATAGTCTTGAATGTACTGTGTTCGAGTCCTGCTTTAGTTCTCGTGTCCGTGTCCACATGACGACAAACATTGACAGGGAGTAGGTGTCCGTTGTCGGGATGCTAGCGTGCCCTTCCCCTGCGGTCTTGACCCTGAATGTTCGTTTCTCTTTTAGTTGGGGGTGGGGCTGTCTGCGGCAGTCACCAACCAACTGTGGGATCTGCTCCGTGGCGATGGCTCGGCTTTGGCGGGTGGGAGTGAGGGCCCGAGCCCGCTGTGGCAAGCCCCACAGAGCTCTGCGCCCACCCAGTGGGCAGGGGCTGTGCGGCTCCTGTGTGGCCGTGTAGGTCCTCGGGCGCCCGGGGACCACCACTGCTCTTTAGAAATAGCTGCCTCGCCTCGGGTAGATCCAGCCTTAATGTTTTTCTGACATCCTAGAAGGAGCAGACCCTGCACAAAGCGGATATCAGAGTTCACACTGTGAGGAGACAAGATGATGCGAATAGTTTTACCAAAGATAATGAATTGTCGAATACTGTCTGGATTTTACCATTGATCTGAGTGCATCCTTAGAAAACTGAATGTAATGAAAACCCAGGACATTTTTGCAAATTGTATGCTGTCTAGCAACTTTGTGTGAATTTTTATACAAGCACTGTTTTATGAGTTATATAAAATGTTATAAAAATAGAAAACCTGTGGTCTCCTAACATCTTATTTCCTTAGGGCACTGTCTCAGAACAGCCTGGGTCTGCCTGTGATGTGGCTCCTCCCCTCTCCCAGGGGAGAAGGAAATGTGCCAGGGTTTAATGTCTCCCTCCCTGCTCTTGGCATTGTGTGCTGTCTGAGGGGTTCTGGTGTTTGGTGGTAGCTGAGTGACCCAGAGGTCACAGAAACCCCACTGCCAAGCCTGTTCAGTGCTTCCTGGACACAGTGGGACACTGCCTGCGTCTTGCTGAGCATCCCGGTCCAGTGCCGGGCCAGCTCCGCTCCACACGCCGCCTCACCTGTGGGCTGACTCCGCTCCACTCTGCCCCAGTGCAACGTCGCTCCTCAGAGCCAGCAAAAAGATGCAGCCTTCCCCTCACCCTTTCCTTTGGCCTGTTGTATATTAGTAACCTTAAATGGCATTTCCTAGTTAAAATAACAACGTTGCCAGCTGTCAGGGAAAGTTTTTGGCGCAGGGATCACAAGCTACGGCTCACGCTCCTGGATGGGAACATTTTTCATACGGCGTCTGCTGATTTCCGGTGTTTTGTTTTGGAGCTGGAGACTGAACCCAAGGCCTCATGTGCTCTGCTGCTGAGCTGCGCACACCCCCGGCTCCCTATTTCTGATTTGCAGCCCTAAGAGCTGTGCTGTGTGGCCTTGCCTGGCAGGTCATCCCTATCGAGCGCTGGAGACTCCGATGCTAAGTCCACCAGCTGTTTAAGCAAGAATTGAAGGAAAGCTCGATTCTTTTTTGTGTGTTAAAGGTTAGATTGATTTTGTAGGCCTCTCTGGTTGTGGGTGTCTTTGTTTTCTATGAGAAAAGTCTACAGGGTATTTCGGTGTGTGAGTGCATAGTTTCACAAGCTCTGCCTCTAAGCACCACCAGCTGTGACCACTGCACCAGGGAGAGGCCGTGGGCTCCTGGGGGCGTGGGGGAGAGCTGACGTCCTTGGCTGCTGGTGAGGCGCGGAGGGAAGGGAGCGTCCCTGGCCTGCCGGTTGAGGTCATGCTAACAGTGTGATATAACAGGAGCTCCCAGAGCTGGACCTGAAGGATGCATTGTGGTCCTTCACACAGCCCTGGAGGTAAGTGCTGTAAGTGTGCCCAGCTAACGGGCCAGGAGTGGAGGCCTGCCTGGTGTACGTACTGTCACCTAGCTGCCCAGAAAACAGTGCCATGGCATGTTCCGGCGGGAAGGAAGAAGTAGGCCTCTTGTTCAGCTGCACATACCTGGTAAATGGTGCCAGGCTGTGAACCTGTTTGTCTGTTTCCACCACACCAACATCATTTTAGGAGCTAACCACCACTGAGCCACAACACACAACTATTGGAATCCAGAAATAGAGTGGTGGCCTCTGACCATGTCCTCAAGCCCCTGCTCGTCTGATCCTCGTATGCGTGTGCTGGCTTTAGAATTGCAGTGTGACATTGTAGTGCCTGTGGCCAAACGTGTTCTGTAATGGTCACGTTTTGAGATGGCACTGGGTGCTGTAGCTGGGATGGGCCCTCTGGGGGCAGAGCGACACTGGGCTGGCTGAGGGCGGAGAAGCTGGATCCCTAGGAGGCCTTGCGGTGGGACTTGTAGGGCAGAATTGGTTCCAGCTGAGGCCCAGCCAGCTGGCCATGGTCCAGGACTTCCTTAGGGAAGCAGTGACCAACTGCAGGGTGGCTCCTTTGGCCACGGGCTGTGCTCCAGAAGGGTTGCAGAGGTGTGGGTAAGATACCACCGATACCCACTCACTGCAGGATGAGTGTTTCGAGGGTTTCCTGCCTTAGAGCCCAGGCACTTGTTAAACACTGCTGAAGGTCTGAGCTGAAATAAGTGGTTTCCTTCCATGTTCGTATGAAACTGACTGCCCAAGCAAGCATGTGGTGTACACCTGTAATCTTAGCACTCAGGAGGCTGAGGCAGGAGGCTTGCTGAGAGATGGAAGCAAGCCTGGGCTCTATAGGGAGCAGTAAAATAAAGGGCCAGGAGTGTAGCCTGTAGCTCAGCGTAGACAACATTTGCATAGGATGCCCATGGCCCTGAAATGAATCTATAGTACTGGGGAAGAAGAGGAATGCATGGAGGTTTAAAGACACTGGGTTGATGCAGAGGCATTTTGTAGAATATTTCTGCAGGTGGAGACTGTCATTGGTTTTATTAAGGAGTATGAATCAGCAGGCTGAGACAGGAGGATCACTATGAGTTTGAGGCCAGCAAAAAGCAAAGAAACCAATTCATTCTCCAAAATAGACTGTGTTCCAGCCCACACGTTGTCCTTGACAGATAGAGACCTCGCAGCACTAGGGCGCCTCTTCCAGGAGGTCTGCCTGTGGCCGCTGTGGATTCAGACGTGACTGCAGCTCCTTACAAGTCTCAGTTCCAATCCTAGCTCCTATTTCTAAGCACCAGAATGGGTCAGGGAGGTGCTCAGTACTCAGTACATTGTCCCATTAAATCCTCACAGAAACCCACGCGACTGTAGGAAACCCTGCTTCCGGAGGCTTGCTAATGGCCAGGGTCACATCACTGACAGAAATGGGGTTCTCGTGGCCGGGCTGACGCCAGAGTCTGGGCTCTGGACCCCTCTGGGCTCTTGCACAGCTCTGCAAAGCGTCTGTCTCACTGCCCTTTGGTCGCTGGGGTTCCCGTCGGGGTTCCTAGAGAGGCGTCTGGAGCCATCCTCTGGGTGTGACTCAGGGTGGAATGCCCGTCTGTCTGTCTGTCCGCCCTCCCTTCCCCCTCTTGCCCTCCCCCCTTCTCTCCTCCCCTTGCCCTTCCTGTCTCTGTCCGTCTCTTTCAGTTCAGTGATCTTAATTGGTTTTATTTTCATCTCCAGAATCTGCAACACTTCACTGCATAAAACAGTAACATGTTGCAGTCAGTGGAGCAGAGTTCAGTTTTACAGACAGAAAAAGGCTGAAAAGAGGGGTAACCAGGGCGAATAGAATTGGGGACTGCGGGAAGAACCTTCTCTGCCCCCTAAGGGAGACTCCTTCATCCCACAGATCCACGTGGAGGCCGCCTACCCACTGGGCGCTGCCCTCTAATCAGTCCCAACCTCAAGAGCTGGTGGCCAGGAAGCTCCCTGGAGCTTGGGGAGGATGCCACTCCGACCTGGCATCTTTTGCCCGAAGCTGACTTCCAAGATACATTTGGCTCCAACCGACTGGGGGCTGCGGCTCCTCCCGACTGAGACCCCAGCAGGTGGATGCAGCCAGGCTCTGGCTTGAGGTGCACTGGGGGACTTCCTGACTCCTTTCCAGGCCGAAACACAGCTGCTGAGTGCCTTTCTGCAGGATGTGACGGTCCTTGTCCCGAGAGCCTAAGGTTTGCGCCATTCTGACACAAGGTATTGGATGCTCACCTCCTTTCCGGTTTTGACAGATGGAATCTTAGCATAGGCACAAAGAGGCCAATGTCCGGTTGTGTAGTGAGGGGAGGTAACCGATCGGCCTGCTCAGACTCAGAGTTACCCTAAAACTTCAGCCTCACCTTCGATCTCTCTCAGAATTGTTAGTTAAGGACTTTCGGTATAATCCTAAAGAAATTTTCTATGTGCTCTCTAAAGGAAGTGTAACCTAACTCCAGAGATGACTTTGTGCATTTTGTGGTACAGATGACTGAACACACAGCCTTTGCACTGACTGAGCAGCCTTTTCATTTGAGGTTGCTCAGGCTGGACTCAAAACTTGTGACCGTCCCAGAGTGCTGAATCACAGGCCTGTGCCACCACACCCTGACCTCCACCTGCCAGAGCCCGTCTTGGGCAGCCGGGGTTCAGTCTTCACCTGCCCACCCTGGGAAGGCTGGGCGCAGAGAATGGAGTCCTGGGAGTGAAGGTCCTCCCATGCAGCTCACATCCCCATTGTGGGATCTCAAAATGCAACTGGACCTGGGGCCGCAGGACCACCTGCTTTTGAGGGATTTACCTGCCTGCTAGCAATAATGATCAGTGAGACCCTTATACAAACAAGGCTAGCAAGCAAGTCTTGAGAGGGACAGTAAAGTGGCCATGTTGGGACACTAAAGCTGATTTCAGAGGCTTTTCAGCAATCTCAAACAATAGATTGGGCAGTTGGATTTGTCAAAAGGCAAGTTGGGAGGGCTTCCGTGTATAATGAAGAACTTAGGAAGTGTGCGGTTTGGAATCATCCCCTCAGCCCCGTGGTTCTGGGGACTGAACCCAGCTCCTTCACACAAAGTATATTACCTGTTTTTTCCTTTGAGATGGCATCTTGCCAGATCACTAATTTGCACAGGTTGGTTTCAATTTGGGATTCCCCGTCTCAGCCTCCCAGAGTGCCAGGATTATAGGCCAGCCTGCCTAAAAAAAGAATCTTTATACCCATACGACAGGAGGTGGAGGCAGGCGGTGGGGTCTGGGTCTGCTGACTGCCAAGCACTGTGAGCCACGTGAGTGCGCGAGCACTGTGGCAGTGGGGAGGGGTCCCTAGGGGCGTGCGGGGGTCAGTGCAGGCACAGTTAGGGCAGCAGGGTAAAGCAATGGGCTTGATGGGTCCGAAAACCTTCCGGGTGAAAGAAGATACAAAATGAAATACCTAACAATGGGCTTATGAAATTTATTAGAACAGGGCCAGTCCTGTAAACACATTGTTTCTCAGTGTGAGAAACCAAAAGTGTAAATAAGGGCCACGAACTAGATGTGTCAGAACAGGGCTGCTGCGCTGGCACCCCTGAGACTTGGGGCTGGACTGTCCCTTGGAGGGGGCAAGGAGGACCCCCACGTGTGCCCACTTCACCCCCGGGTTCCGCCTGAACCCCCAGCCATGAAGTCAGGAGGCAGAGTCGCCCCAGGTGAGAACCTGAGACCCTGCAGGCCCGCGTGTCTTTTAAACTTCTCATGACCAGGGTCACATGGCCACTGAGGAGGTTTTGCCAGGACACAGAAGCGGCTGTCATTGGGTCGGAAATGAGTCACAAGAGTTCCATGCATCTTCAGTAATTGCATGCTTGGTCTACTGTTTTGCAGGTATGTTTTAAGTCCCTTGCACTGTAGGTAACCTTGAGAAATCAGATTTTGCCACGCGATAGGACCAAACCATTATTCTCTGTCATTAGATGTCCTAGTTTTTTTTCTCTTTGGAGACACTATGCAGTTCAGGTTGACATGGAGCTCACTGTGTAGCCCATGTTTGTCTTGAACTCGAAGTAATCCTCCTGACTCAGCTTCCTGAGTGCTCAGATACAGATGTGCCACCATGCCCAGCCTCTTTTTTTTTTTTTTTCTTTTTGTGGAACCTGGGATTGAACTCACAACCTTGTGCTTACCAGGCAGGCACTTAGGCCACCGAGCTAAATCCCCAACCGTCTTTTTTTTTTTTTTTTGAGACAAGCTCTTGCCTTTAGAAGTCCAAGCTGGCTTTAAACTCTTGATCTTCCTGCCTCACACCCTTTTGGGGTCTTAGTTTGTTAGAAACAGAATTTGGGAATGGATCAAACCCGCCAATCAGTTAAGCTAGACACTGAGCACACCAACAGCCATTCAAATGGCCTTTCCTGCTCAATCCCTCTTATAGGGCCTTGTACAACCTTTCAACTTTCTCCTTAGAGATGTGAGGCCAGGCTTTCAGTATTTTGTCCCATGTGACCAGGGAGGTCAGTGAGACCAAGGTAACCCAGTTTGGGCTGGAATTTGTGATCCTCCTGACCCAGCCTAGCACAATATTAGGATAACAGGCATAATCCACCATGTCCAGCTGTTTTTGTTGCTGTTTGGTAGGACAGGATTGCACTAAGTAGTTCAGAATAAGTAGTTGACCTCACTGTGTAGCCAAGGCTGGCCTTGAACCCACAGCAATCGTTTTCTGAGTGCTGGGATTGCAGGCATGTGCCTATAATCCTGGCTCCTTACCCAGTTTTTTAAGTTATTACTTTTTTCAGTGCAGGGATCAAAGCCAGGGTCTGTACATGCCAGGTAAGCACTCTGCCACCAAACTGCACCCTCAGCTTCAAGTCAAGAGGGGAGGGAAGAAGGTGAGGAAAGTGTGTGACACAGAAGCTAGACGACATTCTCAGCTAGTGTGGAAATGAAGCGTACTGTCTCACCGGGTCTCAGGAAAGCCACGTGAACAAGTTGTACGACAGAACAACTCCCTGTTAGATACATACCTTCTTCCTGGGAGTTTAGTTCTTCAAACTCACGTTCACTGGGTGTGGTTGCACACACATGATCCCAGGACTTAGGAGGCCGAGGCAGGAGGCCAGCCTGGGTTAGAGTTCAAGGCCAGTTGAACTACAGAGAAATCCTGTCTCAAAAACCAAATAAGGCTGAGCCCATCTCAAGGTGCTGTCTTGCTGGGGATTTAGCTCAGTGGCACAAGTGCCTGTCTGGCAAGGGCAAGGTTGTGAGTTCAATCCCCCGTACATACACAAAAAGCTGTCTCATAATAAAAAAAGGTGGGGATACAGCTCAATGTGAAGGCTCTGTTCAATTCTGTGTCACTAAAAAAAAAAAAAATTCCTGAGTCTTCTGAAACAGAGGTGGTGAAAGCCTTGGGACTTATGGGTGGGCCTAAATACCAAACGTTTTGGGTTACACAGGTTACCTTTCACAATGTTGTCCCTGGTTCTCGAATTTTTGGGACGAATAAAAGCACCCACTGGGTTGTGGTGGTGGACACCTGTAGTCCTAACACTCGAGGCTGAGGCAGGAGGGTTGCAGAGTTCAGGGTCAGCCTGGGTTACCCAGGGGGACCCATCTCAACTCCCTCCCTCCAAAATAGAGGTAAGAAATAGAGGAACCCCCATCCTGCTGGTGTCCAACGGCACGACGTGTGATGAAGCCACATGGGGCTGGCCCTCCTGATGGCCCAGGAGCCCAGACCAGCTGACTGTGAGCCCTGGTCAGATGACGTGGAGTACGTGTGTCCCTGCAGTCCTGTTCCACGTGCTTGCTCTCTCCTGTGACCCTGCTGAGAACTGGTTTGCTCCTTTTCTCTTTGATAAAACCCTTTCCTGTTGAAAATTAAACCCTGGTCTGCGAGGGGGTCAGATACTAAATATTCTAGACTTTGCAAGCCACATAAGATCTCTCTCTCTCTCTCTCTCTCTCTCTCTGTATATATATATATATATTTTGAAAGTTGTAAAAGGGTAAAAACCATTCTCAGCTTGAGGGCCATTCAAAAACAAGCTTCTGGGCTGGGGATGTAGCTCAGTGGCACAAGTCCTGAGTTTGATTCCCAGCACCAAAACCAAAAAACCCAAACAAACTTCTGGCTGCCTTAGCTTACTGACCTCTGCTCTAAACACACCCTCTCACGTGGGCCCAGTTACAATCTGTGGGGACACCCTGTGCAGACTCCCAGGGACCAACTGAAGGACATCCACAGCATGGGTGGGAAACTCGGGCGTGGAGGAAGGCCCCTTCCGGGGCTGATCCTTAGTCATCCAGAGGGCCAATGACCTCCAAGGCAGACTTTGCTTGTTTCTGCTATACAAGGCCAGAACCCTGGGGAGGTGGCCCCAGGACAGGAACTTTTTAAGTAAAAGCACAAAGAGCTGGGCTTTGAGACACATGTCTGTAATCCCACCCACCTGGGAGGCTGAGGCAGGAGGGCCAGGACTCAGGTCAGCCTGAGCTAAACAGACAGAGCTGGGTCTCCAGAACAGAAGGCGGGGGTGCAGCTCAGCAGCCTCAGGGTTCAGTCCCAGCACTGCAAACGAACAAGCCCACGGAGAAGCGAGGCAGCCGAGGTGGGAAGTGGTGCAGAGGGGCACAGGTCACCAGGGGGGTCCAGCCAGCCAGGGGCTGCAGACGTGAGTCTCGTCTTCACACAAGGCTCGGTGGATCCCACAGAAGGTCTTCCTTTTCTGGGCCGCTCCGCCCTCATTTGCACGCACCCTTCCTGGGCAGCCGGACGTGCTTCCACCTCCGGAGCACCACTCGGTACTTGTCGCCTGCCGTCTTCTCCTCGAACACCTTTTTCAGAAGGATCCGCATCACTGCCTCCGTCTCTGCGTCTTTGTCCTTCCCGATGAGCAGATCCAGAGTGTCTCCCACTTTCACCTGCGAAGAAGCACACACAGCCCCTGTCACACCCTGGGAAAGTAGCCCGGGCCTCGCAAGCACTCCGTGAGCGTTTCCGCGGGCGGCCTGCCTGCCGGGAAGGGCAGGTGCGAGGCTGTGCAGGGGTCCTCGCTGGCCTCCCTCAGCCTGTCGGCTGTGGCCCCTGGGGGCTCCAATACAGCCACTGGGCGACAACAGGTGAGTGGCACATGGCTGACTTGGGAACACCCAGTGTGCACAGAAAGTGCTGCGTCCACCAGGAAGACGCTGTCAGGACCAAGCAGTCCATTAGTTCTCTGCTCATAGATGATGGCGTGGTTTGCTGGAGTGAGGCACCATGGACAGTGGTCCACGGCAGAGGACACGTTTCTGGCGCCGGCTGGCCTCAGGTGGCACAGGATCAGCAAGCACAAGCAGAGCGCCACACAGGTGGAAGGCGCAGGGGAGAGCTGGACGCCGACGCAGTGAGCTACAAGGGCTACAGTGGGCCCACTCGTGCTGGAGGGAGCCCAGCCTGGAGCACTGTTTGGGCCCACAGCCACCCAGCAGGCACAGCACTTGGCCCCATCTGGTTACCACTCAGCTGCAGGCAGCCAGGGTGGGAGCCCAGCGCCAAACATGGGCCTGGGGCCAGCAGCCAGGCACAGCTCCGCGGAGCAGGCGGGGACAGCGGGCGTTCTCTACTCCCCTCCCAGGCTGTCCTTCAGCAGACACAAAGCAAGACTGGCTGGGATTAGTGGCTGCTCCAAATATCTACATTTTAAATCTGCCCTCGGCTGCAGTTTCTATGACTACCAGGCCTCCTAGTAACAAGGAGGCTGAATGTTAATGCTGGCCTCTGCCTGCTGACCCCCAGGAGAAATGGAAGGCAGCGAGGCAGCAGAACACCCAGAGCAGAGCCAGGCAGCAGCAATTAGGCTGCAGTTAACAGTCTCTCAAAGCAGGAGAGGAAGCAGGCTGAGCGGTTTGTAAAGGAGGTCCCGGCGGAGGCAGGGTGCTCAGTCCCAGAACAGCTCCCGACTGTGCTGCCTCCCAACAATGGCGGACTGGGCAGCGTGAAGCTGCTGGTCACAGGGCTCGTGGGGCGTGTCACACAGCTGCCATCTGAGAGGTCCCCCACCCCCACCCGCATCCACACAGCTTCGCCATCCTGGGGACCAAGGGCTGAAGGAAGCCACCGCGCTCAGCCGGGTGCACGTCTCCAGGCAGTGGTGGGGCACTAGGCAGGCCCTAGGGCCCCAGACAGGGCTAGCCCTGCCCTCTCACCTCCAGGCAGCCAGTGGCAGAACACTGGCTGGCATACAGCCCTGGTCGGGTCCCAGCACCACTAAAAGGGAGAAGCAGCTCCCTCCACCACCACAACAGAACAGCAAGCGCGGCTCCCTTCTCTGGGAGGCCTGTTTCCCTAACACAGTTGGGCTTCACTACCTGTGACACTGGGGACTGCATCTCCAGTGGGAATGGGACTCTCCAGAGTCTCTAAGTTGCCCAGGCTGGGCTCAAACTCTGACCCTCTGCCTAAACCACGGAGAGCATTGGCACTGGGGCTACGCGCCACAACGCCTCAGGCTTTGTTTGTTTTTTTTCAATTAAGAGGTTATGCCTTCCAACAGATCATAGTTTGATGCTTCTAAGCCTTATAAGGGTCTCTGCCTTACACCTTTTTATTACGTTGTCTTCTCCCATATGCGAGTTGTGCATACTCATGGTAACAATTCAGAAAAAAAGGACTGCGGAGAATTAATACAACCTGTAATGTCCCACTCAAAGACAGAGACTAGTAACAGAAACAATCTAACTCCAGATGTATGTTTATAGGTAACTTACTCTGAGCTGGGTATTGTGCCTGTAATCACAGCTACTTGGGAGGCTGAGGGAAGAGGATCTCAAGTTTCAGGCCAGCCTGGGCAACACACATGTACGTATAGGAATGTATTTTACACACATGCCCACTGGCACGCACGCACACACGCACGCACCTAGAGCTGAGTGTGCACCAGTGGTAGAGCGTTCAGGGCATTAGACTCAATTTCCAGAACCACAGAAGAAGGAGACACAGTCTGTCTGACAGTGACACCGGAAGAGCACTTTCCCGTGACCGGCTCCTCCCACTAAGAGCAGCATCATGCACGCAGGCCTATCGGAAGGCACAGGCGTCCTTCTGCCCACCGCCTGCCCTGTGCACAATCAAATGCTTCTCTCTGATCTAACTGTTCCGACTCCATGGAGGCCAACGTGAATACGCTGGAGGCTTAATGAATGAATTTCTGCTGGTCTTCAAGGTGGCATACCCTAAAGCCATCTTCAACATAAACTCATCACAAAAGTGAGAAAGCAGGCTGGGGGTTTAGCTCAGTGCACAAGCACCTGCCTGGCCACTGTGAGGTTGAGAGTTCGATCCCCAGTACCAAAAAAATAAGTGGCTGGAGTGTGGTGACTCCCGCCAGTGTGACAGGACAGAGAGGGCCTCTGAGAAGGCGGCCGCTGTCCGCCTGTGTCAGGAGCCGCAAGCAGCCCTGGGTCGGCGCCGAGCACTGACGGAGCAGCATGCAAAACCACCTGGCCTGATGTGTAATGTCTTACCGTTCTGCTCTTCTTCCACAATTTTTCCCCGTTCAGTCTGAGTTCACCTTTGTAGAATGCATCTTCCACTTGGCTTAAAAAAAAAAAGAACAAAGGGCAGCATTTCAAAATCTAAAAATATATTCAAAACAATACGCAGGCTTGAGAAAAATGCCCGAAGTAAGTGTCGACGCTGACAGAGACTCCCCACAAAACCTCGACTTGGAAGCACTGGGACGCCACCTAACACCAGGCCCTGGGGCCTCCGCATGGATGCTGATCTGAGAGCACCCGGCAGGCAGCGCGGGGCGGCTGCTGGGGGCGCTGGGAAGCTTCAGCGTGCAGACCAGCGTGTCCACTGCCCGGCCACAGCTCAGTGAGTCACATGGCCCATGTGCGTGGGAGCTGCCTTCCCCAGATGCCTGCTCTGTCCTCACAGAGGAAAACGGCACCACGCGTCTGGCAAGGCCGGGGACATCCCAGCTTGACAGCTGCTCGCCTCTCAACGGGAACCACCGGTACGCAGCCGAGAGGAGGAAGCAGCCAGGAACCAGTGCCCTACTCCACGTGACTCACACGGGGCTCAGCTTAGTACAAACAGCGGCACCTACTACTCTAGAGGCCCCGGGGTAAGTTGAGAAAGTTAGTGTTAAGTTCCTAAGATTTTACAAAACACTGCAGATCCTAATCTGGAGGCCAACAGGGGGCCCGATGGGCTCAGTCTTTTTAGGAAGTCTCTTAAACTCCATAGATTAAAAATGTGAACTATGCTGTCATGGTTTACCCGGCTGTCCCCCAGGCCTCATGCATTTGCATTGTGCATTTATGATTGGTTCACTGTCTAGGGCTTGGATTGATGGTGTCAGCGCTCCACCCACATAGGGGTGGAGCCAGCATACAAAGTAATGGCAGGAAGAAGGTGTATCTCTCTTGCTGGTTCCTGCTTGCTGTTTGCAGCCCCCCATGAACTGCGGCCCCCCATGCCACCCTGCCTTGGAGCCAACTGAGTGTGGACTGAAACCTCCAAAAACTGTACGAAATAAACCTGTCTTTTCCCAGCTCTGGGCATCAGGTATTTTGTCTCAGTGACAAGTAAAAAGTAACTAAGACATTTGATTGGCTCATGAAGCTACGAATGACAGAAGGACTGAATTCATTCAGACCACAATTCTTATGCTCCATGTAGCAGGCACACATGACTGCTGAAGGAATAAATGAAGAGTGAGCACCCCACTCAGAGAGAATGAGCCTGTTAAAGGAATCTGGGGCAGGGCGGGGGTGGTGGCACACACGGGTAACTCCAGCACGCTGGGAGGCTAAGGCCGGGGATCGCCAGTGGACAGCACAGTTACTTAGCCAAGAACCTTCAAAATTTAAAACAAACAAACAAATAAATAAACAAAAAAGACGAGGGCTGGGACATAGTTCAGGGCCAAGGTCTTGGGATTGATCTTCAGTCCCTAGTACCAAAAAAAAAAAAAAAAAAGAAAAAAGAAATTTCTAAAGTTACACTTAGTATCTCTATGTGTTACACAAAAGTACTTTTTCTTTGAAGGAGGTTTATTCTGACTCATGCAGTACAAGGTGTGGTTGAAAATCACAGTGAATGTGTAAATTTTAAAAAGATTTATTACAATAAAAGATAAGAGTGGCATCCCCTTCCCCCGCTACACACACATTTAAAACCACCTGCTTCAAACACTGCGGCCCCTGGTCCTGCCCCTTTGGGAAGCAGTTCCCAGCCCTCTTTCACGAGTGTCTTTAGTTGCACTGCTATGGCGGCCTCCATGTCTTGAAATGATTCAAACAAACCCTGAATTGATCCGTTTCCTTTTCAATTATTTTGACACAGTGGAAGAACCAGAAGTCACACGACACCTGGCCTGGTTCAAAGGCAGATGAAAACACACCGACATGTGCGCTGAAAAGACTCGAAAGAGAGCTTCCAGGACTGCTTCGGAAGGTGGAAGAGGCCAGGTGTGCGGCACACACTTGCAGCCCCAGCCCGGGGCGCCTGAGGCCAGGCAGGACAGCTGCTGGGAACTTGAGGCCGGTCTGACTGCGCAGTGAAACCGTCCCAAAAAGACAGAAAGAAGCACAACAGCAGCCCGAACAAAAGCAGCAAAGGCAAGCACGGTGGGGGCAGTGTGTTCAGGCAGGAGGGTACTCTGAGGGACTAACAGCGGTGTGCCTCTACCGGAATACACTGCTAAAAGTCAAGCCTTGTCTTATACTTAGGTCACCCCTTGTGTTTTCTTTATAAAAGCTAACGGAGGCCCATGCTTGTTCTCCCAGCACTCGGGAGGCTGAGGCAGGACTGCCATGAGTTCGAGACTAGCCTGACCTCAGGCTACACAGCAAGACCCTGTTTCGAAAAACCAAATAAGGAAAAACAAACAAAAAACTCACAGCTAACAAAGCCTGCGTACCTATTATGTGCCAGGCACTATTACCAAGTGTTTTAGGTGGATACCCGTTTAATCCTGGTGACTACCTGTAAGTAGGCCCTATTATCCCCATTTTAAAGATGAGAACACAGGCACCCAGAGTTTAAGTGACCGGCGCAGTCTGGCCTGAGACCTGCACTGACCACCACCGTCAGTTCTGAGGCGCCCCTGGCACTGCTGCGTCGGGAAGTCTGGGTGCCAGCTAAGCCTGGTTGTGTGCATGAAGGCTTCTTTCTCGCCTCACAAAGCTGTTACTCACTCAATGGCATTCAACTGTGCCTAAGAATCAAAGATGCGTGGCTCTTGAGAGTCACTTGACTTCTTTGGGGATCAGTTTTCTCATCTCTAAAATGCAATAATTAAAACAGGTCTCCCGAAAGGGCCTTTCATATGTGTGGTCACCCTTCCCTGTCACACAGCCCCAGCAACCTGTGACAGGGCACTGAAATGAGTGTGACTTACTTCCGTCCGATGTCCAGGCCCGACTTCAGGATGACGTCATACCGGAAGGACTGGACCACCTTCTCCAGGTCCTTGTAGTCCCTGACCGCGGCAGGGCCCCCCGCGGGCTCCTCCTCCTCCTCCTCCTCCTGCTCACTTCTCTCCCCGGAGTCACTTTCCTCATCGGAGTCCTCTTCGCCTTCTACCGTTTGCAGAGTTTTTTTAGAAGACTTTTTAGAGCTTATATTACTTTTGAGTCTCACAAAGAGTGGGAAAATACATTGTGGGGATAATGAAAGCCCTGGATGTCTCAGAGAGAAAATATGGGGAAGTGTTTTATAATCCGATGCCTTTAACTTGGTACTTGAAAAATATGAACATCGATTCCCGGAAGCACAGGGTCTGTGTGAAGAGGTCTTTCGCAGCACACCCCAGAGTCCAATCCAGGTTCCTGGCTGTTTAAGGACACCGGCCGACACCCGGACACTGGTCATAGCCATGGCACGTCCAACCTGAAACAGACAGGATTCAGTGTGACCCGCAGGGGCAGGGCCATGGCACGCTGGCATTAGGGAGTGTGCGTGAGTGTGAGCGTGTGTGTGTGGCACAGGCCTTCCTGTGCAGTACCGTCCCCACTCCCCACACCTGTGTCCGCGGAGGGCCTGCACCAGACCTCGGCGACTTGTAAGTGCAGTCAGTGTGCTCGGCTCCTAACGCTGCCGTGAGGTCCCACAAGACTCTAGCATGTGTGAAAACACCGTTCTATTCTTCCCCCCCAGTTAGCTCTGGGTGTAGACTGAGTTAATTTAAAAATATTAACACTAGGGGCCAGGGTTAGAGCCCAGCGGCAAAAGCACCTTCCTGGCAAGTGCAAGGTCCTGAGTTCGATTATGAGTTCAAAAAAAAAGTATTAACAAGAATTCTCAATGATTTGTTTAAGAAAATCTGGAGAGGGGTGGGGATTTAGCTCAGTGACATAAGCACCTGTCTAGCAAGTACAAGATTGTGACTTTGATTCCTGGTACAAAAAGATAACAAAAACCCAAAACAAATATAAAATAAATTAAAAAAAAATCTGGAGAGTAGGCTGGGGATTTATCTCAGCAGCACAAGTGCCTGTCTGGCAAGTGCAAGGTCCTGAGTTTGAGCCGCAGCACCAGGAAAAACAAACAAACAAACAAACCCTGGAGAGGGATTAGCCTTAAAATGGTGCCACTGCCAAGGAAGAAGCACAGAGCGTGACTTCCTTAAGTCCCACATACCTCCGTTCCCGGCACATCAGAGCAGGAAATGAACAAACCCACGGATGTGCACTTGGCCTTTCCTTTTTTTTCAAATCCATTTTATATAAACACAAAAGGAAACAAGAAGATAAAGAAAAAGAAGAAGAAGAGGAGGACAAAAATATCTAACAATTTCAAAGCCCACCAACCGGGGGTGACAATGGTACATACACTGTGCAACGTCATCCCCAAGCCATCCACCCAGAACACAAGACACCTGCCCTCAACTGTCCGAACAAACCAGCACAGATCTTTCTCTTCAGCGAACTCAGAGAACTCAGTAGTGTAACTGTGTCAACTATTTTTTAATATACATACACATGTACATGTTTTCCTTTCAGCTTAACCTGCAGATCTGCACGTGACCTCCTGGTCATCCGCTGCCCAACATCTGGCAGACAAAGGGCCTGGAGACCCACACAAGGTCATGGTCCCAGGTGTGGGCAGTCGCTTTTCACAGTTCCCTCAAACACAGCTGGACCCATCCCATCTTGGTGACAGGAGACCCCCGAGCACATCCAGATGGTTCAGGAGGTCAGGTTTGACGAGAAGGTTTCCACAGGGTTGCTATCCTTGTCCTGTGTCTGCAAATGACTGTCCTTTGTGTCAAGGTTACACTTTGGTACCCATTTATTTAATAAGGATTCTTTCCTTTTTGTTTCCTACTTTTCATTAGTCACAAAACTGCAAACAGCCAACCAGCAGCGCAGCTCCCACAGAACCCAGGGTGCCACTTCTGCTTTGAGCTACTGTGTGTGAGGCCTTGCTTTTCTGGAAGGGATGATCATACAAACCCAACTGTACTATCCTGCCATTCCTGGGACCTCAATTTAACTCCTAAATGAGAACACGGGCCCAATTTAAGGGCTGTTTTTCAATGTATCTATCATTCTAAAATGTTATAAAATTCAGATAGTACAATAAAATGACTAGAAGCTTCTTGAAGTACTTCCACAAAAATGTTACCCACTCCTTCCAAACACTTAAGACTTCCTTTCTTCCGATCTTCTTTTGTTTGTTTTGGTTTTGAGACAGGGTCTTGCTATGTAGTTCAGGCTGGCCCTGAGCTAGTTAGTGGGCAAGCCTCCTCCTCAGCCTTCTGAATGCTGGCATTACAGCTGTGTGCACCATGCCTGCCTCTTTTCATCTCTTTTGAGAAAAGGTCTACTACGTGGCTTAGGCCATCCTTGACTTGCAGTGTGGCCCAGGATGGCCTAGAACTTGTGGCAAACCTGTCTCACCCTTCTAAAGTACTAGCAGACGTGTGCCACCATGTACACAGTCACACGTATGCATACTCTAATTCAATGTATAATCGCCATGCAAAGAACTTTAAATTTTACAAAATCAAGGATAAAGGAAGAAAATACCATTTGTCAATAGTCCATAGATGTTGTATTTCATGGTTCACTACAATAAATTTTTCAATAATAGCTCACCTATTTATCTACTGCAATACCAAAGAGAATGGGGTAGGGGAGTGGGAGGAACTATGACCCCCAATTTAGAAGAAACCCCAAGAGGAGGCATCCCAGAGGCAGGAAAGAACTCCGGGCTTGCAAGGGAAAGTCAAATCCATGTCCATCCCTGGGTACCTGTGTTCCCAGCGGAGTCCCAGCACCGCACCACACTGCTGTTCCTTTTGGAGAATGCCTCCATGTGGGGCTCTGTTTGGAGCCATTAAAGCTAAACATTAAACACATGTGCAGGACTGTCTCATGGCCAACCCCAAAACAAACACGTGTCAAGGGCAAGATAAGGTCACAGCTAAATACACCTGACTCCAATTAACAAATTTCACTCCTGAAGTGAAATGCAACATAGAGATCTTCTTCTAAATTAACATAAGATAGTTCTCCTAAATTGAACATAAAGTTACTTTAAAAAGTCCTTAAGCCACTCCCGAGGTCTGTTCAGTTTCCTGGGCTTTCTACTCTAATCCCTTCCTCCTTTGAAAACTAAATAAATACGGGCCACCAGAGACATTCCTTGTCTTGGGCCCCAGAGTCTCAAGCTCTGCAGAGGGTTTTAGATCTAGGCCAGGTCCCCTGATAGGGCTCTTGACGCATCACAGGTAGTTATACTTCCCTATGCTAGGAAAGCTTAGTAGCAGAAAATAACTTTGAATTTGTACTTGCATGGAAATGTACAAAGCCATGCACTGCCTTTGGTTTATTAGCTGCTCCCTCTCTGTGATCCGCTTTAATTTTCAGCAGGCATACACTGGCAAAGGCTGGCAGTTTAGACAACATACAAGACAGATTAACACCTGAGAAACACATGAACCGAGTTGTTGCTGGAGAGAATGAACTCAAGGCCTCGAGGGAGCAGCTTGGGAACCCAGAACAGGTGAGGGAAGCCCCGAGTTGGGAGTGGGACACCAGAAAGGGGGTGCAACCCCGGTCCTCTGGTCCTCTTCAGCTAGAGCAGTGCTGGTTTCTTTGTATTCTCAGAAAAGGGTTCTGCTGAAAAGGGTCCTGTCCTTTGGCCTGGTCTCCCCTCACTGCCACCGAACGTGTCTTTTATCACTTTCTACCTAGTGCTTGTGGACCATTCCCTTAACTGTAGGACAGTGGTAACAATGACAACCAACAGCCTGCTGTGGCACACTGCCATCAGTTGGCCTCCAATGCTCTACGCATTGTGACAGGTAGTGACTGTGGCCTATGCTACACTCACATCCCCAATCTGCTTAGCACATGTGACCACCTGTCACGAACACAGATCACCTTTTTAGAAATGGACACCCCACCCACAGCTACAGCCACCCCACACTGACTTGGTAGGCCTACGTATAAAACAGTCCTTGTTCTCAAGGAACTACCACTTAAATGGAATGTGGGCAGGTAAACTGGCTGTCAGAGAAGACCTCACACTGGTGGATGCCCACAACAGGAATGCCAAAGGAGCGGTCTAACAGCAAGATTAACTTTTCACTAACAGAACACTATCAGCACAGTATCACTCTCATTCAATGAGCAAATATACAAATCTCTTAACTATACTATCTCCTATCTACTACCTGTATTTTTTTTTTTTTTTTTTGAGACAGGTTCTCACTCTGCAGCCCAGGTAGGCTCTGAACTCACTATATTGCCCAGACTGGTCTCAAACTTTCTGAGATCCTCCTGCTTCAGCTTCTCAAGTGCTGGGATTAGAGGCCTGTGCCATCATACCCCACTTTTTTGCCTTTTTTAAATATTAAAACTGAAAAAGGCTATCCATATTCTCCCCAAATTCTGTTTATTTTCTAAATCTAGAAGGTTATTAGTTGGTCCTCATTTGATGTATGATTACTTTTCCCTTCTTCATTGCTTCCCAGGACACTTTGGTCTTGGTATTTTGATCTCACCGGGGGTGGCTTCCCAAGATCCCTTTGCTAACCAGATCTGGGCATGGCTATAATCTCAGCTATTAGCTGGGCGTGGTGGCTCACACCTGTAATCCCAGCACCCGAGAGGCTGAGGTGGGTGGATTGTTGCGAGTTTGAGACCAGCCTGGGCTACAAAGTGAGCTCAAGGCCAGCCTGAACTACATAGCAAGACCCCCCTCTCAAAGAAGACCAAAAAAAAAAAAAAAAAAATCTCAGCTGAGGGAACTGAAGCAGAGGATCACACAAGTTCAAAACAGTGCTGTGCAATTTAGTGAGACCTTGCCTCAAAATAATTTTTTTTTTTTTTTTTTGAGACAGTCTTGCTATTAGTTCAGGCTGGCCTCAAACCCTCAGGAATCCTGCTTTAGCCCCCGGAGTGCTGGCATTACAGGTGTGCTCCAACATACGCAGTGTGCAGCTGTCACGTACTATCATAATTTATCTGTTGGCCCGTGTCTCTCATTACACTATAAACTCCACAAGAGTACATGCTTCACTTCTATTTTTTCCCTCTGCTGATTCCAAAGTGCCCCCAAGCAGTGTCTGTTACACAGTAGGTGCTTAATTATAAACTCCTGTGTCGAGAGTAGACCAGTCTGGACATGGTGGCATACGCCCTAATGGGAGACCAAAGAACGGGGATCCTGAGTTCCAGGCTGATTTAGGCTTAAATAACAAATTCAAGATAGGACACCTTGCTTCATAAAAAAAATCCAAGCAGATGAGGAGGACTGGTTCATTAGAACGAAGCCACTACAGAACACACACTGGACTCACGGGCAAGGCAAGGACTAGGTTTCTAAGGGTCTAGTCCATGAAAGTCTGGAGGGAACACCGACAGCACAGGACACTGAATAACCCTAAGCAGGAAAGTGAACCGCTAGGCGGTCCTACTAAAACGTCTCTTTAGCAGAGCGTGGACAGAGAGGGGGATGACCGGCTGGAGACTGAGAGAGTGCCGAGGAGGCCTCTCTCCCACGCGGTACGAAGCGTGTGAACTACCCGAAGACCGTCCGGAGAGCAGCGCTCGGATGCACAGGCAACGCCGTCCCCGCGTGACGCAGGCGACCGCCCCACGCTGCCAGCCCGGGAAGCTGGCGTCAGCGCCGCGGCCCGGCTCCGAGCGCGCGAAACCGTCGCGACTGCGGACTTTGAGACAAGGTCGGCCGCCCTCGCGCTCGCTCCTCCCGCGTACCGCGCACCTTCCGAGGTCCCCAAGGTCAAGAGAAACAGGACACCGACGTCCGCGGCGGGCCCGAGCCAGCAGCGCCGGCCGGGCCGAGGGGCGGCAGCCGCCGGCTCGCGGGGTCGGAGCCCGGGGCGCCGCAGCCCGCGGAGACTCCGTCAGGCCCGGCGGCGGCGTGGGCGGGGCGCACGGGCTGGCCGCGCGCGGTGAAGCAACAGAGGGCCGCGGGCCAGTAGGGGCGCACTCACCTGCGCGTCAGGCCGCCGTCCCTCCCCGCGACCGCGCCGACCGCGGGGACACGGGCTCGCCCGCCCCGCCCCCTCTACGCCCCGCCCCTCTCCCCGCCCCTTCCGCCGACGCCCGCGCCGGAGAGAGAGCTGCACGGGGCGCACGGACTCGGCGGCGCCGGCGCAGCGACCCCTAGTGGACGGAGAGCCTCGGAGGACCGCCGCGGGCGGAGCTGAGCCTAGCGGTTCGCGAGAGCTGGTTGTCAGGCGACGATCCTCTCTCTGGAGTTGCTAATACCTTCTAGCAACAACGGCATCTTCAGAAAAATGCAAGTATACGCCAGGACTTAGAAGTTCAAAACACCATTTAAAATTAAAGGGATCTACAGGGTCTACCGAGTCACGCTTGGTCCGGTTTACTTCGTGGTGCAGACTGTGATTGCAGGGCTCACAGAGGACCTGGGGAAACAGCGCTTTAGAGAGGTAACAAGATGCACCACGCGCTGAAGGAAGACTTTACTCGGCCTATTGCAGGTTTATACTTGTATGCGTGGAGCTCGTGGATACACATGCTCTCTTAAATTAGAAATAGCAACTTTCTTCTTGTCCTCCTTTAAGCGTTGTGCACGTCAGCCTTGCTTCACAGCCTACCTCTCTACTGCTTCACACCGGGGCTGCGTGGTCGTAGTGGTGCAATTAGAAACAGTAGCTACAAATTGTTTCAAGGCCTGAAATGATGCTATGTGTCAACTCAGGGTACACTGTTGACATTTGGAAGGAGATACAGTTGCATTTACTGGTTTAAGTTATTTGTGAAAGATTACAGAGGCATCATTAATGAATTAGCCTGTAATGGAGTTAATCAGTATTATTATAAACTGACAAAATTGCTGGGTAATTTGCATGATTATGGAAGAAGTTGAAAGATTAGAGGTATTGAATTACATACAATTTGGTCAGTGGCTTTTAAAAATATTTCTTGCTGAGGCAAGTTAACTTTTAAAATTTTTAAATGCAAACTATTTTAAAAAACCATAGTGAGCCTGTAATTCCAGCTACTTGGGCGCTTGAGCTAGTAGGATCACAAGTTCCAGTCCCCAAATAAAAATGAAAGTGAAAACAGCGACAGAGACTGTTCCAGGCCAGTCTAATCATTTTAGCAAGACCCTATCTCAAAATACAAAGTAAAGGGCTAGGAATGTAGCTACATAGTAGTGTGCCCTTGGGTTCCACCCATAGGCCTAAAAAACTAAACAAGAACCCATAAGGCACTATCAGAGTTCAAGGCCAGCCTGAACTAGTCAGACCCTGTCTCAAAAACAAAAACCAAAGAAAGCAATCAAACAAGCAAATCCATAAAGATGATAATAATTATTGTGTGACTTTTTGTTTGGAGTATGTTCATTTGATTGTTTGATTTAGAAACAGTTTCCTTATGTAGTCCAGGCTGTCTCAGAAACTGCAATCTGTCTTAGCTTTCTAAGTGCTAAAAGTATAGGCATGGGGCTGGGTGTGGTGGCACATACTGGCACTTGGGAGGCTGAGGCAAGAGGGTTTCTTGAGTTGGGGGCCAGCCAAAACTATGTAAGTGAGTTCAAGGCTAGCCTGAATGACATAGTGAGACCTTGTCTCAAAAGAAAACAAAAGCCAGGGGAAGTTAGAGGCACAATGCCTGCCTGGCAAGCATGAGGTCATAAGTATGATTCCTGGTACCAAAAACAAAAGAAAAACAAAAAAGAAAAAAAAAATATAGGCATGAAGCACCACGCCTGGCTGCTTATGACTTTTAATGTTTCACAGACACTCCTCAAACTCGTAGTGATCCTCAGCTTCTGGAGTGCTGGGATCACAGGCATGCACAGTAATGCCTAATTTCATCAGAGTTTTAAGCAGTGCCAGTCTCATGATGGAAAATGGTGTCTCGTACCAGTGTGCACCCTGCTGCTGATTCCCAGGGAGACTGAGTGGGCTTTGCTGCATTTGTTGGGCCCACCCTGCCCCAGGGCCTTTGAGCTCACTCAGGACCTTGCACACTAGGCCGGTTTACCACTGAACAACTAGCTCTGTAGTGCGTCCTGTGGTTTGGTCGTTTATAGCTTTTGCCTTGCTTTGCTTTCTTTCTTCCAAGTGACTTAATTTATTTCAGGAGGCCTGAAGGCCCCCAGTGATGCTGACACTGATGCCCATGTGTGGAAACATTTCCAGGCCAGCGTCCTGGAAGGACCACAGAGGGCTTGTTCTAGGCCTCTTTATTTTCCAGGTTATTGATCATCGATCAGTTCAGTGAAGAGAATCCCTCAGCCTTTTTACAGAGACTCCAGGAGCCTTTCTATTCCCAAACTCCACCGAGGACCAGGTGACTTGTAAGGGTGACTTTCTAACCCAGTCGCCTAACTGAGGCCAGGAGGTAGCCAAGGAGCAGGAGAGGGAGCGGCCCCTGTGGCCGCCCTGGGGTGCAGTTAAACCCCAGAGCTCTAAGGGCCATTCATCTGCTTGCCACAGCTGCAGAGTGAACTCTGGGGCCCTCCAAGGGACTGTGGCAGCATCTTGACCCTGGAAGGGCAAGGTCAAAGGTCTCTGGGGTCAGACCAGCATTGCATTTGGTCCAAGGAGGCTGGGCACAGTGCCACAGGCCTGTGACCCTGGTCATGTGGAGGCTGAAGCAGGAGGGTCACAAATTCAAGCCCGGGCTGGGCGATTTAGCAAGACCCCGACACAAAATAAAAAGGGCTGGGGGTGTGACTTTGTGACCTAGCACTCCCTGTGTGTAAGATCCCGGCCTCCATCCTCTCCTCGGTGCCTCATACACACAAAAAAGTCAAGAACTAGAATATTATCCCCTCCGCCTGTCATCTCAGCATCCAGGGTGCAGAGGATCAAGCCAGCTGGGAAGACCCTGTCTCAGAAATCAAACAAAAACAAACCAGGAAGTTCCATAGTATACGTGTTCCAGAACTTCCTGTATGTCTGGCTATCCATGTGTGGTTGTCTGAGGTTTCAGTCTAGGAAGGTTTCATTCTAGGAGGAGGATGACTGGAATTTGGTGTACGCATATATCTCATTTTTTAAGCTAATCCCCAAATGATTATAGCAGTTATATCGGGCCCAGAAGTATGTGAGGCTGGCTGCTGGTCCTCACCTTCACCTGTGACCATGACTTTATTTGGAAATAGGGTCTTTGTAAACAGAGTTCAGATGAGATCATAATGGATTCAGGTGACCTTAAACCCACTAACTGGTGTAATAGTTTAGTTGTTTGGAGACAAGGTCTCCAGAGGTTTCCCAGATTGACTTTCAACTTTGATCCTCCTGCTTCAGTCTCCCATGTAGCTGGGATTACAGGCATGTGAAGTATTTGTAAGAAAAAGGTGTGGGAGACTTAGGCAGGGCTACTTAGAAGCTGCAGAAAAAATCATGTAACAACAGAGCAGAGACTACAGTGAAACAGCTCTCATCTGAGCAACGCTAAGATTATTGGGTTTAGACAGCAAAGTGCAGGAGAAAACAAAATAGGACGGCAGGTTGGTCATTTCAGAGTTCCTTTCTGTGCTAAGAGGAAGACAGGGAGCTAGAGAATGCTGGAAAGGTAAATGATTGGCAGCACTAGTTTACTCCTGGATATTTTCATCCTGTGAGGATCAGTGAGAGGAAACCTCATTATCAGCCGCTTGAAACTGGCCAGTTTTAGCCGGGCGTGGTGGCTCACGCCTGTAATTCCAGCACTCGGGAGGCTGAGGCAGGAGGATTGCTGTGAGTTTGAGACCAGCCTGTGCTACAAAGCTCAAGGCCAGCCTCAACTGCATAGTGAGCCCCTGTCTCAAAAAAGACAAACAAAAACAAACTGTCCAGTTTGGAAAATTTGGCTGTTATCTATCTACTCCTGACTTTTCTGAGGCTCAAATAAACAGCTTAGTTTCAGACTGGTGACATGAAGGTTTAATGCAAGGGACTCTCATTTTGATAGTTATCCAGGTCTGTTGAAGCCCAGGACAGAATTTTGATCTAAAATAATGGCTTTTTGCCAGTGTGGTGGCACATGCCTGTGATTTAAGCACTCAGGAGGCTGAAGCAGGAGAATGGTGGCTAATCCAATACCAGTATAGGCTACTTAGTAAGTTCGAGGCCTGCTTGAACTGTGTAGTAAGACCCTGCCTTTAAAAAAAAGTCTTGTAATTTTTGTTTGATATATTTTGCTCATTAATTGCCTTTGTGATAGGTGCCTGAGCCATGAACCTCAGGTGGATGAAGATATTACTTTTTATCCCCTACAGTAGTCAAAGATAAGTCTTTTCAAATATTATTTGGAGCTGGGCATGGTGGTGCATGCCTGTAGTCCCAGCACCTGGAGGCTGAGGTGAAGGACCAGAAATTTAAAGGTTAAAAACAAGATGCTGTTTCTCAGCTAGAAACAGCACTGGGCCTCATGGCTTAGTCCAAACTCAGCTCCGAGGGAGGATCAAAAAGAAAACATCTGCAGCTGTGATATGCTCTGGCTGTGCTGTGCCAGGGGACTCAGAGATAGAGCCTGCCGATTACGCTAATCAGGGTTGTAAAGCATGTCAAACTCGAACCATACAGAAACCAGGTGTCCTAAAGATAAGTTGTGCAGAACAAGACAGTTAATTAACTCTGACCTGCTGGTCATCCCTTATGAGCTGACCAACCACAAATAGACAGACTGCCGACTATCCCGCTCTAACTGCTATGATTGGCTTCTGTTAAAAAAAAATGCTTGCTTTGCAGTTTTTTCCCCTTAAAAGCACCTGCCTCACCTGCACTTGGGGTTCTCCGTTTCCACCTGTTTGGAGGACCCCGTGTGCACGGAATAATAAAGACCCCTTTGTTCTTACATGAGAGCGGAGCCCTTGGAGTCTCCTTTGCGACACCAGTCTTACAGAGGCAGGAGAATTGCCATGAGTTTGAGGCAT